TCAGGTTAATCTTATAACCAGAGAAAGGACTAAATCAGTCAATTAAATCGAGAAGGCCTGGTATAGATGTCTCAGGATCAGTTAGCAGGATTAGAGCATCATCCATGTATAAAGTTATTTTGTGACACAACTGTCCAGTCTCTAAACCAGGTATCGTGGGTGTCGTCCTAAAGGGTTCTGCAAGTGGTTCTACAGCCAAAACCAATAAGAGAGGTGATAAAGGGCAGCGCTGCATCACCCCCCTGTGAGTATTAAAGTATTCAGACTTGAGTCCATTAGTTAAAACTGCTGCCTGTGGTTCTATATATATATATATATATATATATATGACCCTAACCCATTTTATACAATTTAATAGTGAAGAGTTAAAAGATGAATAATAGAATACTATACTGTAAAGTGTTTTAACAATATAAAACTGGGCACCTGCAGAATAAATAACCAATATACAGCTATGGACATTTTTTAATGGATATTTTAAATTAGCAGCAACATTAGAGATGTGCAAAATGACAGCAGCATGTTATTTAAGTGACTACAGTAGAAACTGTGCAAAATCAGCATGAATGTAACAAGTTATTAAAGTTGTTAGGAACAGTGATGGTTATAGTCTTACAGCTGCTGGGAAGAAGGGCCTGTGATAACGCTCCCTGGTGCATTTAGGGTGCAGCAGTCTGTCACTGAAGGAGCTCTCCTGTTCTGCAACAGCTTCATGCATGGGGAAGGAGACATTATCCAATATAGATGTTACTTAAGTTAGATTTACAAAAATGTTCAAATGATCCTTCTGCTTAACACTAAAGTGTTCATCTCCCACCTGTTATTTTGATGCAGCAAAAGGTGTGCCCCAAGGCTCTATATTCTGGCTAATCCCTTTAACAATGTAGAAAAAAAAGCAGCACCGAGGAGAAGTGGACTCCAACCAATTCCATTCAGTTTATTTATATACTGTAGCGCCAATTCACAACCAGATCATCCAGTCAAAATGAATGGTCTTTTGTTGCTGTTTACCATGGAGCCTCTTGTCTACCCTTGTATCTTACTACTTGTGTTTCCAGCTTCCTAGATGTTACTTAAACAGTCATTTCAGGTTTTTGATCACAATATTCTGTTACATTCTGGGTTTTCTCTGTATGTACAGAACTTCAAAGAAAGGACTTTTTACTATGTTTTTATAGGACATGAGATGGTGTGCTGACAGAATAAGTGGTAATTGTGTTTTCCATAAACCTGGTATTCTAGAGAGACAAAAATGAATCACCCTTAGCAGACAATCAGCACTGTAAAGCTGGAAAGGGCAGGGAAGCGACAGCTTGAAAGAAAGCAAAACTGGACTGTTGTGGAGGACTTTTTTGCAGGACAGCTCTAAATATGCAGCCGGGGTAACAATGAAAGGGCTTAGATTAAAGCATTTTTATTTGTTAAAACAGATCAGCCAAAGAAAAGACCTCAATCTATTTATTGTCTGAACATACTTACATTTGCGGAGCGGGGTAAACCATGGACAGAGTACCACTCAGTGAGAGCGCAACACCTTGATACAAAAAATATATTCAACAGTGTAGTGGTATGTGTTACATAATACATGTAAAATATTCAGCATGCCTTAAACTGGGAGACAATGAGTCAGAGCCACTGACTCAACTAAAAAAATCCTAAAAAAGATAAAGGAGCTCTCACTGAAGTCAAATGCTAAATTTTCCTGAGGTTTTTTCATTATAGTTAGAAGCAGCTCTATTCTGAAGAGGCTCCTCTCATCTTCTCAACACCAACTGATTACTGCTGACTTTTTCCATAAATGTTCTTTACTTTCTCAGTGTTACACTGAATTTACCTGCATGGTTTACTGTTTATATCACATGGAAATTCTTGGATAAAACAATTTGCTTTGTTAATTTTTTTGGAATTATTTAATGCTGTTGCAGATAATAAATTGTTTTACAGCCTCATACCTTTTTTATGGCAAGTTAAAGGCTGTCAACATTCAAATATTTAAAGATCTCAAACATCTCATTTGTTTTCTTTTGTTCTACACAAGAAACATAATTAATTCCACATAATTTATTGCATCCAACTCTTCCAACCACACACGCACCAAAGTGGTGAAGATTGATGAACATTTTATAATACATAATTTAATCTCTTTTTATGATCTTGGCACTGATGACTGGCTTAATTACTCATTTCAATCACCAACTAAACTCTGCCCACTTTCTCAACACTGCTTATCTGATCCACTCTCCCCTGCCTTTATTTAAGCTGCTTGCATCCAGTCATCGAGCGAGATCATTCTTGTTCTCTCTAGCCGGTGGTGAGAATGTTTTTAGAGTACTTGATCCTGATCTGACCTGTTCTGCCTCTCAACTACTGAGCCTGCCAGTTCCAGTATGGACGTTTATCTGAACTGTCTTTGGATTTCTGAACCTCTGAACCTGCCTGTTCCTGTTTTGATATGTTTGCCTGACCTGGCTTCGGACCCCTGACCCTCTGAGCCTGCCTGTTCCCATATGAATGGTTTGCCTGAACTGTCTTTGGATTCCTGAACCTCTGAACCTGCCTGTTCGTGCTCTGATCTGTTTGCCTGACCTTGCTTCAGACTCCTGACCCTCTGAGCCTGCCTGTTCCTCTTCTGTTTGCCTGACCTGTCTTTAGACTCCTGCTTGTTCTCCAGTTCTGCAGCATCTGGGACACTTTGGCGGCTCCTGCTGCATCTTGTTGGCAGTCTGGGCAAGGACGGAATTTGCAAATCAGTTTCCTACCTCAGAAGCCCTAGCCGCTGCTTCTCAGCTCCGCCAATTTTAAATAAGTGCATTCCACTGTCTGTCTTAGACTTAGAGACTTAGACTTGACTTTATTAATCCCTTGGGATTACTCCCTTCGGGAGATTGTATTTCCAGTAGCAGGAAAAATTGCACATACAAGAAAATAGAGGATGTTTAGACACAGTATATACAATAGAAAAATAAAATCAATTAAATAAGGTGTAGGAAGATATATTGGGGGATGAGGATAGACAAATAAATACAGATTAGAGATTATTAAATTATGATGCAGGTTCTCATTATTCATTGACTGTTTCTAAAATATGTTTTAATAATAATACAATGCATCATACAATGAATTGCATCATATTAGTGTATA